AAAAAAAAAAAAAAAAAGAAAGAAAGAAAAAAAAAGGACTTTGGTGTTGTTTTTGGTGATGTGAGAACCATTGAAACTTTTGACCAAAAATATGAACATAATGTACCATACATTTAAAAAGTATAATTATGGCTCTGTTTGGAAAATGAAATGAGGTAGAAAGGGCAGAAACAGGAAGAACAGACAAACTGCTGAGATACAAGACAATTTTCTTTTGCTTGTGCACACTCAGTTATTCCAGCACTACTTGCTGAAAAATCTTTAATCCCGTGTCAAATATCAGTTGACTTAATTCATGGGGATCCTTTTCTGGGCTATTCCATCCTAGTGATATGTCTATCCCTTTGCCAGTATTTCACTGCCATGATTAAGTCTTGATGGTGACTTTGTTTTGCTCCTAGACTATTGAGTCAGTCCCGCTGGATTTTTTGCCTGTCCATATCAACTTTGGAATTTGTTTGCCAATATTCGTAAAACAATTTGTTGTGATCTTAACTGGAATTGTGTTGTTAAACCTGTAAACCAAGCTGATATCTTGGCAATACTGAGCCTTGCTATCTATGATGATAGAACACCTATCTATGTACTTCTTTAATACCTTTATTTAATTGTGATTTCTTTCCTATGAGTCTTAACATATTTTCTTGCATTTGTACTTCAGATATTTGGTGCTAATATAAATTGCAATATGTTCTTGATTTTAAAGTTCCCTGTTCATTGCTGGTACATGGGGCAATGACTGATTTTGGTATCGTCATCTTGTATTTTGTAACACTGATATGTTGGCTTATTAGTTCTAGGAAGTGTTTTTTTAGTCCTCTTTTGGTTTTCTATACAGAGAGTCATGGCATCTGAGAGCAAAGTCGTATTATCTTCCTTTTATTTATTTATTTTTGGTACCAGGGATTGAACTCAGACCTAGCACTTGCAAGGCAGGTGGCGGCACCAGAGTGAAATCCCTGACCCTCTTCCTTCTTAATATGCACACCTTTTATTTAATTTCTCATTTTTTATTGCATTAGTTAGAACTTCCAGCATAATGCTGAAAAGCAGTAGTAAAGAATACCTCTTTGCCTTTTTAAAACTTTAATAGGAAAGCTTTGGTTTCCTCACCAGTAAGTGTAATGCTATCAGGGTTTGTGGGCGATCTCTGTTAATTTGAGGAAATTCCCTTTTATTCTTGGTTTACTGAGCTTTTAGAATGAATGGACATTAGATTTTGAGATCCTTTTACTGTACCTGTTAATACTACTATAGGAATTATTTTCTTTAGCCCGTTGATGCAATGATTGTATGAATTGATTTTTGAATGTTGAACTTGACTTGTATATCAGGGACAAATTTTACTTGATTCTAGTACATACTTCTTTTAAATATATTTTTGAACTCTTGTTAATGTTTTGATGATTTTTACATTTATATTCATAAGAGATAGTGGCCTTCAGTTTTATTTCTTGCAGTATCTTTGTTTGGTTTTAGTATACCTAGCTCTTGAGGACCTGCAGCTTTTTTTTTCTGCCTGTCCAGGGTCACACCTGGGAAAAAGACACATTGTCTTTCCAAGCTTAAGAAAATTCCTTGGAGATCACCAAGCCCCTTGCTGCCTGGATGAAACTCAAAGCTGTTTATGTTCTGCGGTCTTGTTGTTTGCCTATGTAACTATAATAAGAACCATTCTGAAGACTAAAAGAAATAATGCTGCATAAAAAGAGGCTTGCAGAATGTGGCTGTCTAGAAAATAAGTACATAGCTCTTAAGAATTGCAGCCTGTTATTTAAATTTCTGCCCTTATTCTTTGTGGATGACTGATTTTAGACAAACCTGTTAATGATCAGTGTTAAGACTCCCATCAATTTATCACAAGCCTTCTGGAAACATTTTATATATTTGTTCTTTATAGCATCTTACAGGAATAAGATGCATCTGCTATCAACAGTTGAAAGAAATGTTATCTTTTTCTTCTCTCTGAGTATATTGCTCATGTTTGAAGATGGAAAGAAGGGGTAAAGGCAGCAGATTTCATACTTAAGTGAACATCTCCACGCCTATTCCGGGAGTCAGGGAATCAGAGATGCAGAGATTGGAGGAAGCACCCTACTCTTTGTTCTTTGGTGCATTGTTGTGGAAACGCTTTATCTTCCCACAAAACATGCTTGTTACTTGATCTGTCTATTTCCACTGTCTTCAGAGACACATCTTACAAGAACTGGTTGCAAGGCATACATTTTTCTGCTATGACAAACAAAGTTTGTGACAAAGGATGGGATCTCTGAGGATTTGTTGAGATCAATACTTCTGCTCTGCCCTTTCATTTTACATTGTAAGATGATGTCTTATTGACGACCATTCTGCTGATAGTGAGAAGCAACAGTTGGCTTCTCTGATTTGGTTGTGGTGTGGTCAGAAGGTGGCCGTTTGCCTGGCTTGGTTTTTTCTTGTGTTTCTCAGTCTGGTGACACTTGAAGGAAGTTGTGAGTGAGGGTCCCCAGTGCCGCCTTCCTCTGTGCACCCTTAGCTCATGGTTGCTGTGGAGTGATGTTTCATTTTGGTGACTATCTCTCACCACCAGAACCTGAACTCTGGAAGGGCAAGGTCAGTGACTTAACTTTTAATCATAGCATCCACCATGTTGTTCACTTGGGGTTCAATATCAATGACAAATGGGTGATCATAGTAGCAACTACCTTCTATGTAAGTGATAGGTTTTTGTAAGAATAAAACTGATTTCTGGATGGATATTCAGGGTGTTCAGTTTAGCATTACTTTTGTCCTTTGTGTGTATGCTATCTAATGCTTCAGAATATCATAGTTTCCTCTGACATTGACTTAATAAGGTTCTTCTCAGAAGTAGCTCTGAGAGATAGGGTGAAGGTGCATAGTGTATTTGTGAATTTCAGAGACATGAAGGAGTAACGGGGAAATGATATACTGAAGGTAGGTGAACAGCCCTACATCCCAGCTACTCCTATGGGCAACTGAGCCTCAATCCTGCAGGCAAACTTCAGAAAATACTGTTATGAGTTACATATAAAGTGTCCCCCAGAGACTCACATACTGAGGGCTTGATCACCAGTGCAACAATATACAGAGGTAGGACCTAGAGAAATAACTGGGTCACAAGCACACTGACCCCATCGATGGCTTAATCCATTGATGAGTTCAGAGCTGAATGGAGTGTTCCAAGGCAGGGCCCAGTTGGAGGAGGTAGGTCACTGTTCCCTAGAAAGGAGTCTCTCTCTCTTTGGTTCTTTCTCTTTCTCTGTGCTTCCAGGCTACCATGAAGTGAGCAGCTCTGCTCTGCCAAGCGCTTGGCTACAATGT